ATGGCGACCGGGAAGAGTAGCTCGAGTTCCCGCGGTCGCCATGAGGCCGCAGCGGCGCTTAGCTGCGAGGGCCTTCAACGCTGCTTGCAGCTTTAATTCTTATTGGTTTCATCTGAAGACACTTACCTGTCCGTAGTCTGGCATTGTGGTGTCCTTGCCTGGTGTCTCCTTGAGTTTTTGTATTTTTTATTTATGTCACATCAGTCTTTTTTATTTGAGCATTCGTCAGTCTGCTCAAAAAAACTGACAGAATTATAAAACGCCAACTTTCTGTTTTCATGTAGACGACCAAAACACAACATTTTGAAGAGAGTGATGTCATCACCCCTTCTCTAGCCTAACCTACGACCCGTCCTCTTTGATTTTTGTTGTTGTTGTTGTCTTGTTTACATTTTACACCCAGTGTACAAGCTTTATGCTCCACGCCTTGTTTCCTGTTTTTGGTGTATTTTTTGTGGCAGCACAACAGTGCCACCTACTGGCACAGTTATTACAGCGTTTCTGTGTGGATTAAGACAATTCTAAAAACGAGGCGATATTTAAAAAGATAGTTTTAAAAATGTATTAATTTTTGTGTGAGTAAGACCTATTTATGAGGTCATCAAAGAGTTATCTAGAACTGGTAAGATAATTACCTTCTTACAAAACTCTTCTTCAAAAATAGCCAAACGATCCCTTAAAAATATAAAACATCAGCCCCTTTTCAATTAAGAATATGAAATATTGTATTGTTTTAGTTTTATTTAAAATCAGTTGCTCTTGTAACTGCACATATTAGTTGGCGAAGCTCTTACCAAGACAAATAAGCCAAACCCACGACTCCCAACGCTGTGAGGGCAGGTTTCGTCTTTGGGTAGGTGTGCGGCTGCAGCAGCACTTCTCCAAGTAAAACAGGAACGACAAATGTGTGCTGAGAAGAAGAAGAAAGAGTTTAGCAGAAACACGTTAAGGAGGAGAGGATCAGGATCGTCTGAATTCTTTTCAAACTGTCTGAATAAGAAAAAATTGAAACCATAGCGTGGTTCATCCAAGGAGGGAAAAAGGTGTCGATGGTGGCCGGGTACACTAATTCTCTGTCGAAGGCGAAGATTGTCCAGAAAAGCAGAACTACAAACTGAACAGAAACAGAGAGCTGGTTTTAAAATAACATAATTAGGTGGTGTCAGTGGAATAATGGTTTTCTCACCATGCCGACAGGAAAAGCAAAGACAGAGAAGAGGAGGTCTTTCCATCTGTGCAGACTGCTCTTGGTCTCCTCTTGATGGAGGTCGCTCACCGCCGCCAGGCCGAAGAACGCCATTTGTAATAACTGAAATACGAGCAGCGAGCACGCAACTTTGAATTGAATGTGAACTTTCTGTATCCTGCACAGAACCAAAAATGATCCAAACTTTCACCTGAAGCTTTCAAGGAATGGGGCTGAACGTTCTAGAAGGTATTTTAGACCTTCAGTTTATTTTTGGCAAGAAAGAAGCTAAGCCTCTAAAAGCTACACCCTCAAGCTAGACTTAAACCTGCAGCTGTCCGCATGGACAAGACCGACATCTCCTAGAGAAAGGTTTGATGGTCGGACGAGACCAAAGAGCTGTTTGGTCACAATGACCAGAAGGAGGAGTCAAGGTGAGGCTTTCAGACCTGAGAACACTGTACCAACTGTCAGGCACGGTGGTGGTAGCATCATGCTGTGGCATAAATTATGAAGATATCAGTAGGTAGATGACTGAAACACATACATAGGTGCAGGCCTGTCACGATAAACAATAAATCAATTAATCGCATGATAAATGAAAATTATCAACCTCATTTTCATTTATCGGCTTTATCGTTTCTTCGCGTCTCTCTCTTGAAGACACTGGATGACAAAAGGCTCGACTCCAGTGCTCCACTCACGTTCTCTTTTCTTTAAAATCTGTTTTGTCCATAATCATGTTTTTGGATCGTTAAAAGCAGCTAAGCTGAGAAGCTAAGCTAACAGGCCGACCTCGGGGGAAAAAACCTCCGTCTTGTCCAAGCAACAAAATTCACGCTTGAAACTCGTGCCTTTGTGTAAAAAGTTGTTTTTCTCTGCAAAAAGAAGCTGAGAACTTGTTTACTGATTTTTTTTTTAATTAAAAGCTTTGTGTGAAAAATGCTTTGCTAGAGAGCTCAAACCACACTGAGCGTCCGCCATTTTGAGAACCGAAGAGAGACACCGTGTTGCCAGGTGAGAAATGGATTATCGTACTAGAGATATAAAATTATCATATTTTGAGGGAAATTATCGTACACCCGTCATAACCAGAATAACAAATCTATTGATGCAATATAGTAGTGATGGGTCCGCTTCCAGACCGGCTCTGCTTCTTCTTCTTTTCTTTTCCTCACTCATGGGGCGCAGCGGACGATTCAGCCAATCATGGACGTTGTTCTGAGGCAAACGCAAACACGTCACTCGTAGGTAACATTTAGAAAATCACGATTGGCTGGACCAATTGTGCATCTGTTTGCGGACGCAGATGCTTTCAGGGTTCTCAAAAAAATTCCAACACACAGTTGTGACAGGCTGATGACAACCACACATTCACAGAATGGTCAAATTATCGTATATTTGGCCTTTTCTGGGATTATTGATTGTACACAGGGCAAAATTGTCATACAAATGCAATAATTATTGTACACCTGGCAACACTGGAGAGACAGCCCATGACACGTCAAGGGGCCTCCCTCCCATTTTTCTTAAAGAGACGCTGCTCGCTCCCTCACTATCCATCCTTCGGTTCAAACAGTCTTATACTGCCATCCTGTGGTCAAAAAAGGTACTACATACAAAAATTAACCAACATTTCTTCTTAAATTTGACAATAATTACCAATTGTTGTCAAATTTCCAACAATATTATCGTTTATCGCAATAATTTCTGAGACAATTAATCGCCCAGCAACATTTGTTATCGTGACAGGTCTACATAGGTGGGTATTCCAATGATCCACATGCACCAGGCTTGGTTTCTGATTGGATAAGTCAGTGTAATGTTAAAGCATTAAGTCCTAAAGCCCCAACCTCAACCCGATTGAAATCTCATGGACCATTGTTGTGTATTCGGTTACTGTACCTGGACACTGGGTGGCGTTCCTTTGCCCAGTGGTAGAAGGAGGTAGTGAACTGAGACAAAGCTAATGTGAGCTCTGCTGTCTTACTGTATTTTCTGGCGTATAAGTCACAGTTTTTTGCAAAGATTTGTCAGTCGTGCAACTTATACACAGGCCGAAGTGACTTATGTATGTTTTTGTTTTCATATTCATAACGCAATTTTTGAGTGACACTTAAAATTTCTAAGAACTAAGCAAGTCCTCTCGTGCGCGTTCAATTCACTCAGCTGGTGCAGGCGGAGGAACACTGGAGAGCTAGTGGCTTTGTCCGCGATGGATGCATGGATGGTTGGATGTATGGTTGGATGTATGGTTGGATGGATAGATGGATGGTTGGATGGATAGATGGATGGATGGCTGGATGGATGATTGGATGGATAGATGGATGGATGGTTGGATGGATGGTTGGATGGATAGATGGATGGATAGATGGATGGTTGGATGGA